ATGGCCCCCACCTTCTTCAGCTTATTCACAAAGATGTCCTCGGCGTACTGGAAGACCTGCAGCACCATCTCGGCCGCCGGCTGTGTCGTGAACTGTCGGCGAAGATCGGCGCTCGTCCCTGGCAAGGGGAACGACTCCAACAGGTATTTCTTGATCTTGTGTGGCCGGTCCTCCACCTCCTGCTTGATGTCACACTCGATGCGAGCCAGCCCACGGTCCATCGCCTCCCGCTCGCCTTTCTGGGCCTTGCCGATCACCTCAACAAACAACACAATGTTAGCAACTGTGGCGGCCACAGGTGCAGGGCAGTGCTGTAGTTGCGATGATGGAACACGTGATGGACGAGTGGTTCAACAGCGAATGCAAGGTGTGCTGCTAATGCACGATTGCAATCGAGAGATGGGATTGGTGGATCATCCTAGCAGCAGTGGCTTTTGGCAAGCCATCGAACAAAGACAGTCACCGCATCACTCGCTTTCAGATGGGCTTCTGCGGCCAACTGGAATGCTCTTCCTTCCGATATTAGGAAGCCATTGGAGCTATGCACTTTTAAATCTAGATTGAAAACAATTTCTTTAGAACTGCTTTTTGTGTTCAGTTTGTTGCCCTCCACACCTCCGATTAGCACAGTTGGCTACGTACAGTGCGAAAGAAGTTCAACATATATACATGTGGTTTTACCCAATCCAGTCATTTCTGAGTACTTGTTTAGATTTGCAAATTTTGATTCTGACGCCGGCACACATGTCCTCCTCATTCATTAATAACAACACGGGATATTTGTTTTACATTATTTGTGAAGCATATAGAAATGCAGTTTTGGATAATACACCCGCAATATTAACTAGGGCGACTCCTGGGATCGAATCGCGAACCTCTGAAACAAGCGACAAATGCACAACCACTCGGGAAAGAAGATTTCTGTAAGGAGCGGTACAGTAAAATAGGCCTCAGCCTTCTATACGATATATATTAACATGATGTACTTACACGAGCAGTTACTTCAGTGCTCTTGTCACAGCACTGCACCCCCAAAACTGAAGTCGTGTTGGAAGTCTGTCTCAGACTGCATGACAAAAGGATACACCACATTCACTTGACAGGGAGACAGGTGTGAAACTTGTGTGCCTGAGCAACTGAGGATAGCTCAGCATTGTGGCCGTGTAAGGCAAACGCAGGGGCAGGGGGAATATTGGTAAAAGGCTGATGCAGTGTCACTCTCAGGTGTGAACACAGCGACACGTACGTTGTGGCTGTGTGTCAGCAATTCCAGAACGCATTTAATTCCGAAAGTAAACCCCCTCAAGGGCAACAACAATACATACTTGAGGACAATCTTGATTTGAAGCTTTCGCGACTGCAGGAATCCAGACTCTTTGGTTCTTTCGGTAAAGTCACGTAAAATCGAGGAGGAGGCCGCTTTCCTACCTTACAGTTACACGCTAATTTCTCACGTTAACATCACTAGCCCTGGACACTTCTTTATGACCCATGGGCTACACACATTTCAAACCATTTAAAACAGTCTGCCTCAGCAGCACACCAAGGCTTATCCACCTGATGACGGACGCTTGTGTCGCGCCCGAAACGTCGTGATTTATTTTATTTTATACCTACGTGACTTTACCGAAAGAACCAAAGAGTATAACTTGAGGCATCCAATAATAATACAATTCGCAGTCAACAAGCGACGCAATGCATACACACGTACACACACACACACGCTCGTACACGCAGGCACGGCACGTACGGAAATGCCCAGAGGTATGCTGGTGATACGGATGCCCAGATCGTGAATATCCGGAGCCCCGTATCGTTCCATGAGATGCTTCAGCAAGTCCGGCACCTTGAAGCGTGCCATCACTCCTTTGCCTCGGGAGCTGCGGCTCTTGGCCACGAAGGTCCTAAACTCTGCCGCAAACAACAACAACAACACGAGCGGGTTACGCAGAGCGCATGCTAGGGGAGCAACGACGACGCATTGATTCGGACGTGATCATTCATCCTGAAGATCGCGATATGCACACCGGATCGCGTGCGTAAGAATTTATGTTTTAGATTTGTATACGTTGCGTGTCATTGTTTCACATTGTCCAACACCCACCCACTCCAGTCACTAGAGCCGGCTGTGTTCACGTTTTAAAACAAGGCGTTGAATCTAGAATTTATTCACGAGCCCTCAATCGCGATAATCGATTGATTCGCGACATGGGTGGCTGGGGTGGCGCGTATCGCTTCTGTTTATGTCTGCAAGGAATCACTTGCTGAGCCTTCGTATCATTTCAAATACCAAACAAATTCATGCATCAGTAGCACTGGGGCCTTGAAAAAGGGAAAAAAATCCGATAAGCGACGTTTCGGGCAATGACCCTTCTTCATATTGCATAGAAAGGCCAGAGAGATTGAGTGAACAATAAGAATTGGAAACTGCACTTCACAGCGATTACCGTGTTTCAAAAGTTATTAGGTAACCATTCATATGAACCTTATGGTGGGACCCCGGGGTCCCATAAGTCCCCGGCTCTTGCATAAACATTATATTATATATAATGTAAACATTGTATTATAATGTAAACATTATATTATATAAACATTATATTATATATAATGTAAACATTATATATAATGTAAACATTATATTATATATTATATATAATGTAAACATATTATAATGTAAACATAAACTGTGGTCTTTTTCACCAATGGGTTTGAAGGATGGTGGCAAGTGTTGTCTTGTTAAACTATGCCTTTAAAACTGAAAACTACTTACCTACAGTAGCTCTATTTAAATACACTATCGAAAACATAATCTACTCCCCTCTGTCAATCATCGTGTTTCTCAGTGTGGATTTGTAAACACACTTGTTAAACAATACATAAAATAGTACGCGTTTTCAATGCGCTGTTCATATTGTAAAATGTGTTTATACCAATGTGACTCTACAGCAGTTGCAGAGCCGCACTTTTATATAATTCAGGTCAAAGCCAGATAAACAGTGGAGGATAAACATCGCATGAAGGCGGGGCAATTGTTGTGCAATCATTTCAGGTCAAATTTACAGGTGCGTTTTATTCATGCCACACAGGTAGAGAGTTGAGAGTGAAACCTGGCCCACTGGCATCGTGAGTCATGGATCATGAGTCACCCGGACTTGTTGTGTTTGTTTATGGTTGCTATACAAGCCATCAAATCTACACCACGAAGAGAGTTGATGAACAAGTAGGAGAGTGTGTAACTGGATTACATTCATGTGCACAGGCGTTTCAGATGTGAATATAAAATAAATAAGGTCGACTCAAACGCCACTCTTTAGGATTTGGCACACTCAATAACATTTTAATTGATAAATTAAGACCAACAAACCATAATCAAATGGGTCATGCATCGATGTACCAATTGTGGTTACGGACTGCTTAAGAAGAAAATGATGAATGCAGATTCGAAGCGAGTTTAAACATGAATCTACACCATTTAAATATATTTTAAACAACCCGTTGCAAACATGACAGTAATTTGAAATGTAGCACTGTACATCAGAACAATTTGAAAGACGTTAGAGATTTGAAACTGTCCAAAAAGAAAGGAGGAAAATAAATGTATTTTTACATAATACAGGTTTTTTAGGTAAGATCACGTAAATATAAAAATGTCGGTAAACCCACCACCACCCGAAACAGCCAATTAGTAAGGTTTGTCACTTAAACAGAACATGCCAATTCGTTACTAGTACAGCACACCGGTTGTGTGTTAGAGAGCAAAGCCACAACATTAACAATCTGAGTACGACGTTTCGCCAGTAATTACAACCAGCGTCATCAGGAGGCAGCCAGATTTGTGGATTTTTAAATGTAGATTTATTTAAAGCTAAATTTAAAAAACATATAGAGAAACTGGAACATTATTATTACAGAATTTGGTGGGACATATGTCGAAAAGAGAATGACTCCAGCTTAGCTTGCAAGAACTAAGAGACATAGTGTGGCCATGCGGCCTTAATGAGAGAGACTGACTCCAGCTTAGCTTGCAAGAACTAAGAGACACAGTGTGGCCATGTGGCCTTAATGAGAGAGACTGACTCCAGCTTAGCTTGCAAGAACTAAGAGACACAGTGTGGCCATGTGGCCTTAATGAGAGAGACTGACTCCAGCTTAGCTTGCAAGAACTAAGAGACACAGTGTGGCCATGTGGCCTTAATGAGAGAGACTGACTCCAGCTTAGCTTGCAAGAACTAAGAGACACAGTGTGGCCATGTGGCCTTAATGAGAGAGACTGACTCCAGCTTAGCTTGCAAGAACTAAGAGACACAGTGTGGCCATGTGGCCTTAATGAGAGAGACTGACTCCAGCTTAGCTTGCAAGAACTAAGAGACACAGTGTGGCCATGTGGCCTTAATGAGAGAGACTCACTCCAGCTTAGCTTGCAAGAACTAAGAGACACAGTGTGGCCATGTGGCCTTAATGAGAGAGACTGACTCCAGCTTAGCTTGCAAGAACTAAGAGACACAGTGTGGCCATGTGGCCTTAATGAGAGAGACTCACTCCAGCTTAGCTTGCAAGAACTAAGAGACACAGTGTGGCCATGTGGCCTTAATGAGAGAGACTGACTCCAGCTTAGCTTGCAAGAACTAAGAGACACAGTGTGGCCATGTGGCCTTAATGAGAGAGACTGACTCCAGCTTAGCTTGCAAGAACTAAGAGACACAGTGTGGCCATGTGGCCTTAATGAGAGAGACTGACTCCAGCTTAGCTTGCAAGAACTAAGAGACACAGTGTGGCCATGTGGCCTTAATGAGAGAGACTGACTCCAGCTTAGCTTGCAAGAACTAAGAGACACAGTGTGGCCATGTGGCCTTAATGAGAGAGACTGACTCCAGCTTAGCTTGCAAGAACTAAGAGACACAGTGTGGCCATGTGGCCTTAATGAGAGAGACTGACTCCAGCTTAGCTTGCAAGAACTAAGAGACACAGTGTGGCCATGTGGCCTTAATGAGAGAGACTGACTCCAGCTTAGCTTGCAAGAACTAAGAGACACAGTGTGGCCATGTGGCCTTAATGAGAGAGACTGACTCCAGCTTAGCTTGCAAGAACTAAGAGACACAGTGTGGCCATGTGGCCTTAATGAGAGAGACTGACTCCAGCTTAGCTTGCAAGAACTAAGAGACACAGTGTGGCCATGTGGCCTTAATGAGAGAGACTGACTCCAGCTTAGCTTGCAAGAACTAAGAGACACAGTGTGGCCATGTGGCCTTAATGAGAGAGACCGGCAGAACAAAGTTGACGTTGGAATGAAGACAAATGGACGAGGAAGGACACGGACTGCGTTTCACGCATCGCCGAGTGCGTCTCGAAACCTTACCACGCCTACATATATTAACGGACATCGATTAAAGTGGTCCCATTAGATTTACAATTAGTCTGAATCTTTAGTACACATTTAATGCCTAGGAATATAAAACATGTTGTAAGAGAATACAGGTCGTTTAAACAAATTCAAATATTGCTTACTACAACCAAAGCTCATTGAAGAGTCGTAATTTAAAATCAAATGGCAGAGCAAAAGATTTTAATTAATTTCACTGCTTCCATTATAACATTAACGAACCTGTGGTGGGCCCATTGCTTGCATATTAAACACTCAACACGAGTCATTGTTATTGACTTCTTGCCGTTTCAGTGGCACATATCGCACAATATATACACAATTTTGCCATCTTCTTTGGTTATTTCGGTAAAGTCACGTAGAATAAGATAAAATAATAAATTGATAAAATAAAATAATAATATTCTCACGACGTTTCGGCCACAACACAAGTGGCCTTCATCAGACAGTCTCGTCCCCTTCACCTGATGAAGGCCGCTTGTGTTGTGGCCGAAAACGTCGTGAGAATATTATTGTGTTATTTATTTATCAATTTATTATTTTATTCTCATTCTACGTGACTTTACCGAAAGAACCAAAGAAGATGAATCCTTGCAGTCACGAAAGCTTTAAATCGAAATTTTGCCATCGTCTGTTTTGCAAAATATCGTCGCCAGAACATTTATCTTAAGTGCATTATTCCTGACCAAATGTTAACGATTAACAAAAGCGCAATAATTAAGGTTGCGCATAAAAACCTCACACGAGGCGAAAAATCCCTCAAGGGCCCATAAACTACAATCGCGTTTAAACACATAAACTGTACGTATATATCAATGCACACATTGTGTAGCAGCAGCATGATTATTATTAAACTCACCTTTAATAACGAGGCACATAAACACGAGTAAAAGTGTCAATATTAATGTGCCACTGTACACGACGTGACGTAGCTGAGGCCCCGCCGCCCCCCACGGTGAACGGTGACGCAACGCGTACAGTGCCCGCGTCACGGATTGGCGCCTCGCGTGCACAGAGCGAGGCAGCAGCAGCAGCAGAGCCAGAGGGGGGGCGGCGTTGCCTAGGCGACGTCGGCACCCTCACGATCGACTCCACGGACAAGCTGTGTGTCACGTGGTGACGCCCACACCACCAACACCACCCGCCCCTTACTGGACGTCTGTGAACAAGAGCTTCATAGCGCTTCGGATTTCTCCAGGGTCGATACAGCGTGCGCGGCACCTGTACGCGGCGAGTCCTCGTTTAACGCGGTAGATGCGTTCCTGAAAAGTGCCGCGTTAAGCGGAAACTATTTTCCTCCCGTAAATAATAATGTCCACGCACGGTAAGATGGGGGTCCAAATAACTTGAGGGGACGCCGCCGCCGCCGCGTTACCGTCTCATCTCGCTCAACCGCGCAGCTCAAGAAAGTAGTCCGCTCAGAAAGCGCGTTGTGACGGAGAAAACGCGTTGTAGTGAAAACGCGTTATCGTGTGAACACGCGGGACAGACCCAGGTGTTGTGGGTTAACTCCCCGAGATAAACTTTCTTCCAACTTTGTGTTTTATACGCCCGGTGCTCCGCCAATTGTTGTTGTGAGCGTCAGCTCCTCTGCCCTCTGTTGTTCATGGAGGGAGACTGCACCCCAGTGCCCAGTATCATCCTCCGCGAGCCTCTTCAAAATGCTGATCTTGACACCGCTGGAAGCAGTCATCGGCCTTGACCTCACCTCACAACAGTGCAATTTTAACAGCTCAACATCAAAACACAATGATGGGTCGCTTGCACCAATCGCACAACACCACAGCATTGACTCTCAGCTGTTACATTTTGATTTAAAGCTTTAGTGACTGCAGAGATTCATATTCTTGGTTCTTTCAAATTTTCTTGTGGTTTTCACACCTGATGATGATTGCTTGTGTTGCAATCAAAAGGTCGCGAGAATTTTATTGTTTTATATTTGTATTATTTTATTGTTTCCCTTCGACGTGACTTTCCCGAAAGAACCAAGAATATGAATCCTAGCTGTTTCTTGTGTAGAGGGGGTCACGTGTGTCACCATAATTGCCCTTATCCTACAACTCGTGCTGCGTAATATTTTCCTTTCCATATTACCTGTGACACACATAATGAGGACAACCGGTAAGTCAAATGAAACCAGAGGTGGGAAATCTGTTCTTTATATTATTAATTTCAGGCAATGTGAACACGACTTTTAGAAACACCGATGCAGCTATACACGTGCCATATTGGCCAGAAATTCAGTTGATACTAATAGGGTTTATTTGCCAGTATTGTACATTATTTAAATTACTTTTGTTTGGGCGGCAGGGTGGTGCAGTGGTCACGCCCGTGCATGACATCTTCTGAAGGACTGCCTGGCTTCGCTTTCCTCATTCTGGTCCCTTTCTCTGCATGGGTTTACTCCCATGGCAAAACAACAACAACATACAATGTAACTGGTACTAGCCAAACATCCAAATTACTCCTGCGAAAAGTTGGCAGGCCCCTCCTGAAAAAGAGTCTTGAGACTCAGTGAGGCTTTCCCAGGGAAACAAGCCTACTAACAACATTGTTTCACTGCATGTGAAAAATAAAGATTTTCAGGATTAAATCTGTGGCTGTTTTCATTGAAACATCACGTTACGTTCAAGTGATAATTGTAACTGGCACACAGTATTCCTTCACTTTGGCACGAGGAACTACAGACGAGGGACAGCAGCAGTCAAATGGTGAGCAGCTGGCAACATCCCCCCCCCACCACTCCTGCCCATGCTCTGTTGTCCTCTTTATATAAAGATGTTATCGGACAATTAATGAGAGTTTGTACTCTTTGGTTGTTTAGGTAAAGTCGCGTAGGTAGAACAAATAATAATGGATCACGACGTTTCGATCGCCACACAAGCAATCGATGATTATTTTTATTAGTTTTTTCTACTTACGTGACTTTACCGAAAGAACCAAAGAGTAAGGATTCCTGCAGTCACGACAGCTTCAAATCAAGATTAATGAGTGTTTACATGTGGGAGGAAATCGGAGCATCTGGAGAAATCCAAGCAAATGAGGGGCCAACGCTCTATCACAAATCTACACATGGAACAGGCGGAGTCCACATTATTCGACACCGCCTTCTCTACCTCCTTGACGACCAAGGGGTGGGAGTTGTCGCAACATTTTTGTGATCCACCAACCCTCACCTCCACGTAGTCGTTGATTACAGGCATACATAGCCACCACAACCATCCGGCTAAAGTAGCTGTAATGCACATCTAAAATTCTACAAAAGTTGATGGGGCAAAGGTCGTAGGTCAATTGGTTTGATTTCTATGCGCATTAACCAGTCTCTAACGTATGCATATTTAGATTCGCATTCGGCCGCCAATGGAACAGGTGGAGTCCAAAAGCAAAGTGGATGTACTGATTGTATCTTCATTGCGGGACTCATCCAGCAGTGGATTGACATGGGCTTCAGGTATCCACGTGTGGACGGCAATGAACACTGGGGCCACCTGGCGGTAAATGTTTGCCGGTGCACATTGGGACCGGCTCACACGTCACTGGCCCCTGGGCTGAAGTTAGGACCCTGGACCCCAAGCTCCGTCGTCCTTCAAAGGGCCAGAGCTCAGTGAGGCCAGTGGTCAAGGGAAGATAGGTCCTGGGGGATAGGACCCTGGACCCCAAACTCCGTCGTCCTTCCAAGGGCCGGAGCTCAGTGAGGCCAGTGGTCAGGACCCGAAGACCCTGGCACGGTCGGGTCAGCAGAGCCTCCCCTAGGGCCCCCAGCCGGAGGACGGGGAATTAACGGGTTCCCAGTGTTAGGGCCCGTGTAGTCCGGAGGCCATACCTCCCCAGGTATCGGGTGAAGGGGCCGCTACCCCTTTGTGTTAGGGACCCTGTAAAATAGAGTGTTAATAAATATCGTGTTGCCTCACAAGAAGTTCTCCACCGATGATTTACCCACAACATATGTGCTCCAGTTCACTGGCTAGGTGGCGCTGGTCAGAGATGCAGCGGATTATTTTTTCCGCCTGAGGACGACCGCTTGTGTTGCGATCGAAACGTAATATATTATTTTTTATTTTATTTTTCTACCTACGTGACTTTACCGAAAGAACAAAAGGGTATGGATTTCTGCAGTCACGAAAGCTTCAAATCACCACCAAAATAAGATTTTGTATATGAACAACAATTACTAATTATCTCCTATTTTCCCAATGTTACCCACCAGAGATCCTATCTGCATATACACAACAGAAAGTTAATTATAGCACCATACGTTCAGTTCCTATTCATGACACACTTGACTCCCAATCCTCATGTAAGATTGCAATATAATTTCTGCATGAGGGCCCGTCAAAAAGTGTTGAGAATGGACACTTTTTTCAAAAAACTACGTAAAATAGTCTTAATTAAAAGTCCAGTATAGTACTATTCGTGGCACTCATAAGTGAACTTCATTATTGCTCATGCTAATTATTACAATATTAACTATTTACCCAGGAAAGCCTCATTGAGTCTAAAGACTGATTTTTTATCAGAAGTTTCCCATTGCAATGAGATATTTGGCAATTACATTAATGAGCGTTTGGCTCTGTGTGAGTAGAACCCAGAGAGACCCCCACCTTGCACATGGGGAAACAGCACAACTCTGCACAGATTCTACCCACACTCGATAAATAATTAAAACCGATCTTGATTTGAAGCTTTTGTCACTGCAGGAATCCATACTCTTTGGTTCTTTCGGTAAAGTCACTGTGGAAGAAAAATAAAATAAAATAAATCACGACGTTTCGATAGCAACACAAGCCATCGTCTTCAGGTGAAAATCGCGACAGCCGCGATGTCTGCTGCGAGCAGCACGATGTCTGCTGCCTTGTGAAGAGAAGCTGTTACCAGCAAGTCCCACATCCACAATTGGAATTTTTATTTACAGGCAGTCCTCGACTTACGAACGGCCCAAATTACAAACAGTCGCACTTCAGAACCAACTGCCATGAAATATTAATTATTTTATATGAGGTCGTCCATAAATGACGTCACGCGATTTTGGACGATTTTTGACCCCCCCCCCCCTCGTCACACGGCGTCACAAAAAGTCAGACCCCCCCCTCAAATATGACGTCACAAAGCTCTGCCCCCCCCCCCAAACCATATTTACATTTTGAAAATTAAACATGCTTCAAATCGCTGTAAACTATTGTCATTGTAGCGCGTATTTAATGTGGTGCTGCACTCAGTTGTTGTCGGAGAAAACATTAAAAAGTCTATTTACCTAAGTAGAACGTGTTGTCTATATTTATTTAAAGTTGCGCATTTGATGTGACGTCACATTTCTCAAACCCCCCCCCCCCCGTCACAAATGTCTGACCCCCCCTCCCCAGGTGCGTGACGTCATTTATGGACGGCCCCCATCGCCTTAAAACGCGAACTCGCGCTTGCAAACTGAAACCGCGGAACTTTTTTTGTTCAGCAGCGCGATCCTCCGCGAGATGTAATGAGTCGGCCTCGCGCTGTGAGTGAGTGTGAGTGAGACAGCATCGTCCCCCACTCCTCCTGATGTCGAGGGTAAATGGGCGAGGTTTAGGCCTGTGACTCATGCAGCTGCAATGGCTGCTTTGTGTACGCGGTCCAGACCTCCCCAGAGACCCTGGCTGACAGAGGAGGTGTTCAGGATGGTTGAGAAAAAGCGACAGGCCCACTCTAATCGTCTACAGCATTCCACGTCAGAGAATGAGGAGGCTTACCGCAGCCTTCGCTCGGAGGTTCGGAGAGCCGTGAGGCGCTGCAAGGATGGGTGGTGGTCGCGGGTTGCTGAGGAGATGGAGTCTGCCTCAGTGGCCCGCGATCACAAATCCCTATTTAACTCCATTAAAAAAGTAACCTACAGCGCCACACCTATTACCATTGTAGGGGTAATCGTCACTCACCACTCTGTGGGCTGGTAGCTTCCCCTTATCGTCAATAGGGGGCGGAAGCGCTATCACGCCAGGGCTAATGTCCATGGCCCAAAAAGGGGCCAAGACAATAAATATCGTTTTGCCTCATCAGAAGTTTATTCGTCAATTTATACCCACTACACCATCATTAGGGGAACGAAGGGTGATCCAATCTCCGACCCCCAGCGACAGGTTTGCAGATTTGCTGAGCATTTCTGTGAGGTCCTGGGGGAGGGGGAATCGCTCAGCCTGGAAAACATCATGGGACGAAGTGCGGATGACCCTGCTGAGGATGCGGTGCCTCAAATATTGGAGGAGGAAGTCACCCTCTGTGAGTGGCTGGCTGAGGTGCCATCCGTTGAGGAAGTACTGAGGGCGATCCAGAGTCCGAGAACAGGAAAGGCACCGAGCAGAGATGATCTCCAAAGCGAAATGCTGAGGGAGGGTGGCGTTTGTGCGTAGACTGCCCTACATGACATCATAACAACAGTCTGGGCCACTGGACGGGTTCTGCAGGATTGGAAGGATGCCCTGGTGGTCCCCCTCTTTAAGAAGGGGGACCGCACAGACTGTAACAACTACAGGGCATCTCACTCCTCAGTGTGCCGGGAAAGGTCCTGGCAAGGATTATTCAACATCGCCTTGCTAGGTACGCTAAGGAGAGGCTTGCGGAGCCCCAATGCGGTTTCAAGAAAGGGCGGTCCTGCAAAAATGTCATATTTTCTGTCCGTCTGCTACAGCAGAGGTGGAGGGAATTCCAACTAGACCTACATCTCTGCTTTATTGACCTGGTTAAGGCCTATGATACCATCAGTAGGCCTGGGCTCTGGGTTGTTCTTCGTGCTTTCAGAGTCCCTGACCCTCTGCTCACACTCATTAAGGACCTTCATGATGGTGAGCAGACCCGAGTAAAACTACATAGCCGGGAGTCAGAGCCATTCCCTGCGACAGGGATGTC